AAAAGCAAGCAGTGGTCAACAATCAAATGGACACTGAAGCTTGGGAGCAGGGTCTGTTCACATGGGTAAAACCAGTAACCTACCCTGTGCCAGCTCTAACAGGAACTCATATTGTTAGATTTGGTGTGTTGTGTTTTATGCTAGACCTCCTTATTTATATGGCAGTTTTGATGGTAAAATTTGACCCTGATTCAAGGGGTTTACATCTTCTGATGACGGTAAAACTTGACTGTTAAAATGTGTACCTTGTGAAAGCAGCTGCTAAAGGGTATTTCCAAGGCATCTGTCTCAGTGTCTCTTGCAGCTGAAGCAGAATAACTGGATGTGAAAAGCAAATAAACTGCAATACCCAGAGTACTATAAACACCAAATAACTGCTCATAAAAATTCTCCTAACATTGCTCCTCGGGTTACATTCATTTTCTCAGTAGTCTTGTTAAAAACATGAGCCATGTAGAGTTCCCTAAACATTTACAGCCGGAAAAATAAGTTTCCTTACTCTGTTTTGGTGCACTTGTCAGTTTTAGATCAGGCCATGTGAAAAGGAAAGTAGATATTTCAACTACACAATGTGTGTGTATAACTATGTATGTAGTGGAAATTTTGTATATAACTGAATATAATTACAATTTTCAATAATAAGTCAAAAAAACCCTTTTAATTAGAATTGCAAAACTCAGGGTATTCTATATAAGGTTTCCTTTTTGGTTGGGAAGCAGTGCTAACATAGTGATGTGGGGAAACATACTGCTCTGGAAGCCTGGCTTTCTTGAGAATACGTGTCCTGTCTCAAATTAGCAGATATCTCAGACCAAGATACTATCTCATCTCCTGGATGATTTTTGAAACCTTGTCAAAAAGAAAGATTTTCTTAGTGAAATTCTTTTTAGCTCCCAGGGGAGCCCTCTGGTCAGTACCAAAGAGTGTGACATTCTGGAGCTATAAAAGCCCAGCCCTACAGAAATTGGCATCCAAAACTGGTGGACGTGGCACTTCACCTATATCCACAAGAACAAAATGCGTTATGGTACATTTTGATAAATGTATCTTCACATGGTAAGTGAATCTTCTCAAGATTCACTCTGTTGGGAATATGGAAGTCTGTCATATCTTGTGTATTTTACTTGGTACTTACATTTCACAGCACTGGAAAAATAACTTCAAAATGGTTTATACCAGTCATGATATCTAAAGTGATTTTGCATTTTCATTGGGCTCTTGCTTGAAGCTTAGAAGCTGCATAAAGAGTTTTATTTCTAAGACCTTATTCAGTCAATAGTGGTACAAATACAGCTGATATGGCCCTAGATGGCCATAGGAAGTAGAAAGCCAGCAGGCTTTCTCACACCAGTATTACATTTGTGCTTATTAAAAAAAAATAAAAAAAACAAAAGCAAAAGGTGGGGGAAATTAGATCAGTTTACTGTAGCTCCTTGTGAGTGATATTGCTGCTGATGGCCAGCCACAGAATTTTGTTCATTTCCTCATTCATCTAAAGGTGATGTTATTTGATTGATGATTTTTGCAATCTGTTTGCATTTGCATCTTTAAAGGTCCATGTACAATTTTCCGGAATTGATTTAAAATAGCATCTAGTATAACAAATTACCAAGAGAACAAGTGATTCCAGTAATATATAAAACATAATTTAATTATGTTTTCAATTTACTCTTTATGTTAAATATGGGGGTTTTTTTATTTTTATAAAGAAACAGAGTGAATTTGAGCTTGTTTTCACCAGGGACTAGGCAGATCTTGACACTAGGTGAAACTGCAATTCTGATGTTCTTTTACCTTTATCCCCTTGATAGCATTTGGTTTTTTGCCAAGGGTGGCCAATGGCAGCAGAAATCCCGCATTTCAGAAACTGGTTGAGAAGTTGTCATTTTCAATTAGTTGCTGTTGCCTTGTGCAGTGGTCATGTCCTCACGAGACCTACAATTTCCTAGACTTTTCTAAAGCTATGCTTTCTTAGTGCCTGCACACATTTGAATTGGTCATGCCCAATTAGTTTATATGCATTATTATAACACGAGAGAAGGTGTGAAAAGCTAATAGAAATCAGACCTAAGGCATCCACTGAGACAGAGTACAGAGCTTTCTTGCAGGTTTTGTTCTCAGATTTTAACTGTGATTTTCCCTGTCTTGACAAAAACATAATAATTTCAGTTTAAGATTCATTACCATTCCCACTCCAAACACTCTCACTCTCTCAAAACCTTATAGCATCAACTGTTGTGGGATCCGAGGCTTTGGGTGTCTTTGGGAGACATTTTCCATTGCAAAAGTGACTGAACTGTTTGTATTGAAACAGGTAGATTTTTCAAATGCAAACACCCCAAATCCTCTCAAATTTTTTATATGAATGTATTCTTTAAAAATATCATGTATTCAGCTTGACTGTTTTTCCAGGACAGACTTCATGTTGAGTAACATTTTCACATTTTTGTCATCTCTTGCCACTTTTTTCAAACCTCTGTTTTCATGTTTCCCAGCAGAGATTAGGAATACATCAGATGTCAGGTGATAAAACCCATAGGCCAAGGGAGAGTATGGTCAGTCTAGTCCAGTCTTTTTTGGTTTTTCTTGAGCAAATACATAAAAGCTAGTATTATCTGGATCATTCCATTTGAAAATAACAGGAGGATAACAGCACAGTAATTTTCAAAAATGTCTGCTGCCTTCACTCAGCTATGTTTTGGTTTTCTTTTTGGTTTATTTTTCCCCCTCAGTCCTCCTCTTCTTAGCATGTAGGCGTAAAAAGACACTGTAAAAAACTGTGACTGAGTTATCAGGGAAGAAGGAGCTTAAATTTGTTAATTCAATTCTAAAATTACACAAGTGATAGGGATGGTTTTTGAAAAATCACTGAATGACAAGTAATAGAAAAGAACCTGTGGATTAAGTAACAGAAGAGGTCTAGAAACAGCTTTATATTATGACAAATCATAAGAGTCTTAACATGAAAATAATTTTGGCACTCTGAAAACTTTGCAGTGAGTTTAAGGCTCTGAGGTTCATTAGTACTCATTATCTCTTGTAGAAAAATATCTCTATCCCAGTGCTGGCTGTGGAACAGAGAGAAGCCTGGGGAGAATTTAGAATAACACTTCCCACAGTCCACCAAAGTAATTATCCAGAAAATATGAAGCAAACCCAAATACTTAACATTACTGTCAATGTGTCTTAATGCATCCCAGGTTTCACGAGCCACTCTTATTTTACTCTTGTGGTTATAATGGTACCATCACGAAATATGAGATGTTCCTATATTTTTGTGTATTAGGAAAAATTTTGTCACCAATGGGTTGCCAAGCATTGGAACAGGCTGCCCAAGTCTGGTTGACTCACCATCCCTGGAGATATTTGAAAGGCATGTGGATGTGGCACTTGGGGGATATGGTTTAGTGGTGAGGTTTGGCAGTGCTGGGTTAATGGCTGGACTGAATGATCTTCTCCAGCTTAAAGGATTCTATTATTTACATAACCCTGAAGCTGATTCGGTAAAAGACAGTCTCAGGCAGCTGAGAACGGACCTCTTCTATGCCTTTGATTTGTATTTTTTGAGTTTTGAAGAGCAAAGCATTCCTTTGCTAAGATACAAATTAGTTTGACCTCTTCCATGCCTTTGATTTGTATTTTTTGTCTGAGTTTTGAAGAGCAAAGCATTCCTTTGCTAAGATACAAATTAGTTTGCAGATTTAAGTATAGGTGCATGTCTGATTTTTAAAAGATATCATTTAAGGTGTACCTCAGAAATTTTTTATTAAATTCTCATTAGACTTGCACTGTAGGTTTCCTTTGCATTTATCAACAAAATGTTAGTGCTTGTCTTTTGTAACCATCTGACACAAGGAGACACTAAATTAAGATCATCATACCATTTGGCATTCTTAGGTATTAAGGAATGGGGTGGAAGTGTTTGTGCTTGAATAATTAATACAATCAAATGGTCTCAGGAAGGGGAAGCAGCAAACTAAACTACCTGACCTTTGTTCATTCATCAGATTTAATTTAACTATTTTTTCCAAAGTAATTTGCATTTCATCTCCCATCTTTTAGGCCAGTTTTATGCCTGAAAGAAGTAGAAAAGAATTCATATGTGGGGAGTGGTATATTATGCTTTGATTATCACATCTCATGCAATGCAGATTGGTTTTCTCTCGAGGTAGTTCTAAAGAAAAAAGAATGAGTTCCTTAACTTAGGAAGGGTCAAAGGTGTAAACAGTGCCTTTACAAGAAATGTGCCAGAAGCAGAAGTCTGCAGTATTACCTGACTGTAGATCCTAACATAGCTCTGAGAAGGAGCAGAAGTAACCTATCAAGCATTTTCCATTACCAGCTAAAACTTTGATGCCTCTTCCGTAGGAATTTAACATACTCTTTGATGCTTCAGCATACAGAGGAGCACCAGCAGAAACTGTGCACCAGTGGACTAGGCTGTTCATGAGCTGTAGCACCCAGAATCATTCTTTCAAGTAACTGAGGTTTTCTTAGACACAGTGAAACATACATTTACCTGTGGGGGGAGGCTCATGATGGTGAGTGCCTGTAAATCAAGTGGCTGAACACTGCTCAAGGAGGATGGTGAAAACCATGGTTTCACTTTCAATAGTATATTTATAGAGCGAGCTGGAAGGGGAAAGTGGAAGGGAAAACGGGAACACTACAAATCTGAGTTACCCCAAGGTCCCACAGTAGAGCAGGCAACAGCCATCTTGCCAATGATAAGGGAAGTTTCCAACTTCCCACATGGCCTGTAAGTTTTTATTTACAGCTCAAATACCTATGGCTCACCTAAGGTAGAATGGCTTTTTTCATTTTTTAACTCCTTGAGGGATAACCACAGGAAATGGCCAGCTCCCTTTTTCTCTCAAAGAAACGGCAGTCGGAGGCTTTATTGCTCTGCTTGCATGGGTGCAGCATGTTAAACCAGCACTCTTTAAAAAATAAACCTTGCATAAATTCTTTAAAAACCTTCCATAAACATTTCTCAACAGGGAAGCTGCAGTCAAACAGACAATGAAAGCTACGTAAGAACTGATGATGAGGAGAGCTGCTTTCGGACAGACGACGAAGAAAACTCAGCTGCGAACTTCACAGAAGAATGGAACCAAGAGGTGCAGCGTCTCTTGACAAAAAAATCACATAACTAAGTTCTGAGGACTGTAGCACAGTACTTTTGTTCTAAGAGTTGTAGTTTGTAGATGTGTGTTTTTTGACAACAAGACTTCTGTTTAAAGCTAACTTATATTAGCTACATCTTCTGTAACATGGCTCATTACTGGCGAAGCAAACAGACTGACGCGCGTGCTGCTGTCACACACGGCGGCGCTGTTAATAACTCACCTAAACCCTTTGCACATGATATTGAACCTGTTCAGTTTACAATGACAATACTGTTTATAGTTAGAAATTTGATTTCTGAATACTTTGAGATTTTAGCAGATCGGTTTACTATACACTGTACATTTTTTTTTCCACGGGAGAAATAAAAAGCGACAATTATGCATTTAACACTGAACGATGATACTCCTGAGTGTATATATCTAGTAGCCCAAAAAACAAAGTACCAGACTATATTTGCAATTTGTTTGCAAGTCTTTAAATTAAGGCTTATACAAAATGTACTAAAATAATAATAATATAATTAATAATAATAATAAACTTCTCTAATTTAGGGCTAATGTGTAACTTAGGAATGTTTCTTTCAAAATAATCTAACAAATCAGCCATAGAAGTTAGTGTAAATATTTTTTTTCCAAATAGATATCATATACAAAAGGTGACATTCAAATGATATAGAATCTAGTTTTTAAATCAGCACAGATCTTCTTAAAACTGTGAACTATGTTTTGAAATACTCGTTGCTAAAGCTGTTTATAAACCACAGGTGCCATAAGATCCCTGAACTGACTGATGTTACGTATAATCCTCCATGGTATTGTTTCATTGATGTTTTAGCTTTAGTAAGCATGTGTTCAACAAACCAGCTCTTTCCATCTTTCTGCCCCTCCTCTTCCTCCCCACCCCCTTCCATTACGTTATTTTCGAGGCCTTCAGCTTTAAATGTACAGGCTTAAAGTGCGCTTGCAACTGTTTCCTTTTGATTTCTGAATGTGTACTGCCTTAGCCAGCCACCAGATGTTCTGCATGCCCTCTTGGAAATGTGTGGTGAGACTCTTTCAGAGCTGGATGGAGAAATAGCGATCAGTGAAAAGCACAAGAAGAGCAGTGGATTCTTGCAAAAGGACAGGCATACAGTTAGAGAATTGGAGTTTCATCCAGTTTAGTATTTTTCCAATATCAAGGCATTTCAGGAGAAAGGGGACTGACACCCTGTCTAATCAGGGTTAGGCAGTGAGGCTGCTGGCTAAAAAGTGTTTGCTCTGCTGTGACTACAAACCTACAGCTACTCCTGAGCGGTCATTGACACAAACTGGCATCAACGTGCTGCCCAGAGCACCCTGTGCCGAAACAAAGGTGACACCTCTGTGGCACATGGCACTGCCATGCAGAGGAACCAGAGCCAGGCCAGGGACAGCTGGAGCAGCAGCCGGGCAGGGACAGCAGGAGGAGTTCCATGCTGTCTGCCTGGCCCTCCTGAGCTGCGCAGTGTTAGCTCGGGGCCACCTTGTGCCAAGGTAACTTTACTGCCCTAACACAATATTGGGCTTCCAGTACCTGGCTGACCTGAAGTGACACTGTCTAACAGCCCTGAAAACAGTGGTGTTTCATACAGATATTTCACACCAGCACAGTTTGCCTACAGCAAGTGATGAGATACCCATCTAAAGCAGGCTAACGTGGCTTGTCTGTCCTTGCTTTCATGGTGACGTGGATGTGTGCTGCCGTGTTTACATGAGATTGCTATGTAGCTCGACCCAGTAAGTCCACTTGTTTGCATGCATTCTCCAGGCTCGTGGCTGTTTCCCTGGGCACTATGTGTTAGGGAATGAGTATCTGTATGAAAGAGCTGCTGCCATGTTTCACTTTCATATCATTTTGTTGTGTATGCAGATCTCTTGTCTGTATATCCTTGCGTACCTGGGCTTGCTCTCAGACATCCAAATGCATACTAAGGGATCCAGATATCTTCATGTAAGCTTTTCATTTCTGCAGTCACTGGTCTTTGCTCCTGGGTATGTGCCATCCTGGCAAGGCAGGCACCATATCCTCCACTGTCCCCTCCTCCAACCTCCTCTCAGGAATGAGTTAGCCTCCACTAGTGCCTAGCACTCCATGTTTTAAGCTACTCCAGTGAACCTGTAGACATTGCTGTCAGCTCAGGATTCCAGGCAAGCATTTCCTGAACAGGGAGAAAACAAGCTAGAACACAGCTATGTGCAATGGCTGATTAATTCAACACATGTCATGTTTAATTGTACCCAAAGTAATAGATCCCTCTCATCACCTTAATGTCTGCGTGCTCATTATCACCATGCTTAAAATAGATGCACTAGACTAAATCCATTGCAAGAGCTTCTGAACTAGGAGTAAGAACTGAAGCTGACCAATCAAGCACCTTTCTTTTAGGCTGGTGTCAACAAGATGATCCCTTAGGAGTTCTGGGTCCCTGATGCCCTGGAGCTCTGAGATGAAGCACCTCTTACTTAGCTCTGCAAATGTCTATTTTAAGCAGTTTTCCAACTGTTAAGCTGGCTGCATTTTCACCCAGCTGGTCTTTGTCTGTTTGTTGAATATTATTTTGGTTGTGGTGTGCGGTCATTAAAACAAACACAGTTACAGAAGAGGTCCCTCGTATGGCCCTTCTGTTAATTACCAATGGCCCACCACAACCATCAAAACTCCGGGTGGTTTTACTGTCACTGGAGGAAAACCAGTGGTTTGGAATCAGGAGACAGGGATGTGAAGATGTATAGGGTCCTTGAATGTCCAAAGCGAAGGTGGAGAATGGGTTGTCTGTAAGTAGTAATGTTAACTAAACTGCATAAAAAGGTGTGTGGCCTTTGTTGTGATATAATATGTATTTTCTTATATGCATGAGCCAAATTGTTGCATCATAATTTATCATAAATGTGTCCGCCTTTACTTTCAGTCGTCACCTTCTCCCATTCTTATTGGTTCTTGGCAATTTCTGTAGATAGACCTTGTAAATATTGCAGCCTCGGGTTGCTGTAATCACATTGGTTCAATTCAGCAGACGGAGCTGTGAACAACAAGCACTCCACAGTGTCCTGAAGAATAAAGGGCATTTTTACCTTTGAACCAAAAACAAAAAAAAATTACGAAGAGTTACATCTTGAGGCTACTAACTGCAACGCATTTTTAAAACACTGTACTTGACACCACTTGAGACAGATACAGAGACACTAAAAATGTCACGATATTCATTGGTATTGTAACAGAACTGCTATTGTATGGGGTTTTTGTATTGCTGTTAAGTATTGTTTTGTGTGTGTGTGTTGGAACCTACTGGGGACATGTTATATTTTGAAGTGATTAAACTATTTAATTGTGTGTCTATATTTTGGAATGGAATTATTTCTTCATTAAAAAGATTTTTAAAAGGAACTTATGGAGCGTCGTATTTGTGGCTTTTTTTGGTTTTGGATGTCCTGTTCCATGGAGCCCAAACAGCATTTTTTTCAATAGGGAAGGGAAGGAGAGTGTGTCCCTGTGGTGCAGCAATTAGTCTTTGTCTCTTCCACCACTTCACAGGAGAACTCCCTCCACCACCTTCCACAGCGCTTTGAACTTGGTACTGAGCAGTACCTGCTTTCCCAAGCAGTTTCTTCTTCCTTCCTTTCTTAATTCTCTGTATCTTTAGCAGTTTCACAACCTGAAAATGAAGTTCTCTATGTGTAAAACACCTGCCCCTGTATGTACTTGACAGCAATGAAAATTACCATAAGCAGAAGACATGAGGGCCTGACAAGGTGCCTGGTACAAACTTAGAAGGTACAGGTTCTCAGGAACCTAAACTATCTGCAATAGTGTAATTTTTTTCTTAACCACTGTTTCTCTGGCCTTAGAAGGAAGAAAGCATTGGAACAGGCACGTTTGAATGGCTTTACCATACACAGTCACACGTTCTTCTGTTGCAGATGAGCACAAAATCTGTTTTTCCAATTATGCTTTTAAGAGATCTTTCCTTGTAGTTGTTGGTAATTGCAAGTGGTTGCTAATCTAAAAGAGCATGGAGTTGCAAGGAAGAGCTCACACTTAGAGCAGCAGGTTTGTGTTCTGATGCAGTGCTTGGGGCCACCTCCTCAGGATGTGGCAACATCTGGAGTGGCCAGTGGTGCAGCTGGGTGTGGTGGCACCCCTTCCCATCTGCACTGCAGCTGCTGTCCCAGAGTGTGTCACTGACATCCAAGATATCCCCAGCTGTGCACTCAGAATTGTTAGCTGCCCAGTGAGTTACACCAGGGAGGGGTCTGTTAGATGGAGAGCAGCAAACCAAAAATACTCTGTCTGCTTAGCAGATACCCCAGTGTGTTGGGAAGCAGATAAAGCCCAGTCTGCTGCCTCCTTCAGCACTGCCTGCTGTGGTAACCTATAAATCACCAGGGTTTATTTGCCCTAATTCTCCTGTCTACATGTTGACATTCTTCAATAAAGATGACCATTTTACACTGTAAATTGTTGGCCAGATCTGCTGAACTTCGCCTCCACAATCCCAGTCCACATTCATATCCACAAGACTGTAATGTATGATGACATATAAGCTCATGAGGATAACTCTGTTTTATCCATGCATAATCCCAAATTGCTCTGTTGCTTCCTAACCCACAATCAAGTCTATGGCCCCTGGGGAACAAAGGAGCCAGTGAAAACTAATTTATAGGCAAGGGCTGTTTTTCTCTTTGCCTCTTGGTTACTCTAGCTGCTTTTTGCAAGGAAAACAGACTCATACCAGAGGAAATAAATTTGTTTCATTTGAAAAAGGAAATAAAATAGTAAATTAAAATAAAATAAAATAAAATAAAATAAAATAAAATAAAATAAAATAAAATAATTCTTTAGATCTGGTTAGTTGATTCCTTAGCTGCATCAGCACTGAACTAGGGGACTAAAAGCATCTGGAATTTTCTGAAAGCACCAGAGAGCTTAATTCAGCAGCACACAATTCTGTGGCTGCTCTTCCAAAATTTGCTTTGGCCTATTGCTCAGCACTTGTATATTTTGCAACAAGTAGCCCTTAGGTCTAGATGAAACTTTTAAGAGACTGTTGCAGGAATATGAAGCTGAGTTTTTCAGATAAATGAAATATCTTGGGTAGGAAAAGTAATCTATTGTTCCATGAAGAAAAACTGTATTGAAGAATTTCATATGCCTCAGGATCATCCTGTCTAATACCCTGGATAATCCACAGATTAAGGATTCCCATTTGCTTTCTCCTAAATTACTGCCACCAGTTGAGTTGCCTGTGGATTAGGACAGCTATCCCAAACTGCCAGCACTGCACCATCAAGCCTTTGGCTGCAAAAGGCAGAGCAGCAGAATTAGGCTATGCTTCTCCCAAGCCTCCCATTTCCCAGGAAACAGGTCCCAAATGGAAGTTTTTCTGAGGGCCCAAAACTCTGGAGCTTTCTAAAAAAGCTGCTTTGGACTAGCAACTTCCTAGGACAAGGCTGAGGGATGTGCGCAGGGGAGGAAGGGAATTGTGCAACCACATCATGCAAAGGTGGTTAATGCATGACATAAATTGGTTAATGCAGCTTGGAGGTAGTAAGGACCAAAGAGAAAGGTGATGTGAAAGAGAAGTTGCTTTTGTGTGTCTTGGTAGGCAATGAAGGAGGCCATGGTGCCTTTTGTCATCGGTGTGTGATGCTGCAGAATGCAGTTTGCTATTTAATGCAATTTACTACTAGCAAATTAATTACCTCATGGCTTGCATTTTTTACACAACACTCAGCAGTGGCCAGATGGCAGATCTGTCAGGCCTGCTGCTTGCTATGCTAATTGTCAGCCCTAAAGGCTGCCCAGTTAACACTTCTCCCCTGCTTGCTGAAGTCCAGCATTGCTGCTAGACCCCAACACTGCCTGCAGCCAGCAAGCTCATTCAGAGAAGAGGCACTTTCCAAGCTCGTGTTTTGACTGATTTTCTTGTTACTGCTCAGTTCTTTTGGTACATTCCTGTCCAAAAAAAAAAAAAAAAAAAAAAGAGTCAAACTCGTTTCCAGTGTGGGGATGTGTCTTCTGTGCACACCTGCATTTCTCAGCTTTTGGTCTTTCAGCCCCCAGATCCCTTGCAAGCCTCCCCTAACCCCAGGCAGGGGATCAGAGCATCCATCCCTGCTCCTTCTGCCTCCACCTCATGCACCTCAGTGCAACTTCAGGACAGGCTGCTCCTCACCTGCACCAATGCTTCTCCTTATGTCTTTGGTGGTGCTATTCAGCACCTCCTCATGGAGCAGGGGCTGCTGCTCACCTGGCAAAGAAGTTTCTCACCTCTGCCTTTCTGTCCCACTTCCCATGGGAGCTGCTATGGGGCCCAGACCAAGTTTCTTCAAGGATGGGATCCTTTGTTCAGGTCAAAAAAGTTCCTTTTGGACACCCAAAATCCTTTCCTGGTTTCATCAAACAACCAAATGTGTTTATACTCCTGTGATCCACAGAGTAACCTCCCCTCCTGCACCCCTTGGTGCACTCCTTTTTTTCTTTTTTTTTTTCTTATTTTTCTTTATTGTTTATTCAGGCTTCTGGCAGTAGCCTTAAATCCCCCATTTTGCACCTACACTGCTGCCATGAGTGGGAATCAGGTGTTTAAGAGGTCTCTGCACTTCTTTAACATCTGCCTTCGTGTGAAAGAGCAAGAGATTACATGCGCTGTAAGAAGCACTTTCATCATCGTGTTCATTATGTAGGTGCAATTAAACTTAGAAATCCCGCCCAAGAGACCTCAGCTCTGACAAACGACCCTATTGTCCTCTCCACAAAGTAGAAAAGTTGTATTTTGGTCCTTTCACGTGGCACTGCATGCTGTCTGGAGTGTTTTCTGTTTGCACCCTGGCTCTCAGCTCATTTACCCTCACAGCCCCCAGCTCCCCAGCAGATGGGGGGGCTCAAATCCTGTTTGTTTCAGCTGAAAGGCTGATACTGAAGTTAGTGCAGATGGGAATTAGTACTTGAGGGAGTGCTGTTTCCAGGAAATCCTCTCATCACTCACTCTGAGTCACACACTTAGTGGAGGATGCTTCACCAGAAACGTGGTTTTCTGCTACTTTTGGATCTAAGCTCCCACAAATTAATTATTTTAGTTCATGTATAAATGCAAGAAGGAGGAAGGCAGAACACTTTTGTAAGGTCGTAATCATGAGAAATCTATGCAGACCTGTTCACCAATTAAAAACTGGATTTATACAAAGTCTGCACGGCTCTAGTATTGATTGTTTGTCTGGCAAAGTGATAATCAACAGAAAAATTAACTGAGTTTGACTGCAAGTTGGGATTGCCAAGGCTGATGGTGCCTGGAAGCAGAAAAATTGAACTGTTTTATGTTTAGCTGGGGATGCCTCACTTAACCCAATGGGAGCCAACCCAGAGGACTAAAACCAAATGAGCACCAGATCACTGGTTGAGTAGCTGTTAGTGGCCAGCTACTGCTTTCCTTGGGAAGCAATTCATTATTCCCCTTACATTTTGCACTGCTGGGAGTGAAGCATCTCATCTGCTCAGCCCAGACTGCCGAGTGGCAGGTGGTTTTCCTGCCACAAGGACACAGCGGGCTCGGTCCTGCCTTGGCTGGGCCATTGGGTACAGCTGAAGTACAGCAGGCAGAAATTTGCCCTAATAGCTCTCTCGAGCTGGTAGCAGCACTGCATCTGGTCAACCCTTTACTAAAAGGTGATGAATGACCATGGAGTGTTTTCCCTGGCAGCTGAAACCTTTTCCAAGATGGAAATAATGTTCATGTCTTTAGCCACCTACCAGATGAGACAGAAAAACTGATGGCCTTGTCCAGAAAGTGTGACCCAGCCTAATTCTGGGGTGAGGTTTCCCACCAAGCTGTGTGCTAATTCAGAAAGCAAGAACCCTTGTATCAGATCCTTCCCCTTTCCTTTGCTAATGTCTGTACTAATATCTATAATATGTATTGTCTTACCTCTGATTATATAACTTGGCCAACATATTCAGAAAAACTGGGAAAAGCAATGCTTGAGTTGAGACAAGTATCTGCATCATGCCCTGTTTCCTAGGTAGCTACATCTAACATTCAGGGACTTGTTTCTAGGAATGATGAGCTAGGGAGACAAACAAGCTCTTTTAAGGATGCGGAAGAGAAAAGGACTGGAATTTGGTTTGCTGTATTTACTTTGCTGCACTCGTTTAGACATTGATGGTCTGATGGTGACCTAGAAACAGAGATACCCTGTGGGAGTGCTTGCCTTGCTCCCCCCAGGCAGCTCTGTGTGCCCAGCCCTGCGCAATCCCTGGCACACACATGCGCACACACCCCAAGGAGATTGCTCGTGCTATGTGGAGAAAAGAGCAACATTCCAGATTGCTAAGGGTGAGTCAGATGTTGGGAGAGGTTATGAAGTTTGCATGGATGGGGCTGCTCTCCT